GGCAAATTTGAAATTTTTGAAAACTTTAAGGTCCAAACATTCACATGCATTATAGATAAGCATCATAATAAGAATTGTGCATTAAATATTCAACAAAGGAAGGAATTAAACAACTCGACTTTTCATTTTCAAAACAAAGTTCAAAAATTTCTTTTTACATTTTGGAAACTAAGAAATGTGATCACAAAGGCATTTAGGCATTCAAGAATCAATTTGCCAAAACAATGCACCTTAACCATGAGTAATAATCAATTTAAGATAAAAAACTTTCAAAATGTTCCATTTGAAATCAAATTTATGCATTTTATTATAACTTTGCATTTTCAAGTTCAAAAACACGAGTTTCAACTCAAGTCATGCTTTTATGCATTTAAAACAACTTAGTAACAAACAACATCCATGCATTTCATACTCAATACAAACAAATGAAACAAGTTGGGAATCATGCTCATCAATATTTAACTTCAAATGCCATTACAACTTCAAAAATTTCAAGAATTTTTCAAGTTCAAAAAGTTAACAACTTCAATTTAATTCTTTTAAAATCAAAGCCATTTTGACAATCAAGCTTCCATTTCAAATTACAAAGCAAACATTCCAATTTCATACTTCAAAATTCCATGGCAACAAACTTCAAATTCCATTTACAAGTTGAAATCTCAAAACACTTTCCAAAGACTTGTTATTTTTCTTTTTCAATTCCAACATTTAACTTTAAATCTCTTTTCCAATTTTCATTTCAATTCTAGTGAAAAAAATAAACAAAGTGTTATTAAAGAATTTAAAACCAAAATTTAATTTTATTTTTGCAAAATTTTGGTATTAGTTCCTCTTAAATATGCATGCTACAAAAAATTTCAACAAAGGCACAATAACATGCATATACACAATCAATCAAAATCAAACTCCATTAGACATTCATAACTCAATAAAGTCAAAGTCTAAAACTCCATTCAACAAAGCAAAAGGGACACAGCCCACAACACAATCCACATTAAATTTTGCCCATTCTCCTTCTTCTCAACGAATTATACCCATACTCCATTCACAAAATAGGCACAACCCATTCACAGTATAAGGGTCACAGTCCAATTTTAGTCCATTCTCTTTATTTTCTTATTTCCAATTTTTTGAAAATTTTATTTTATTTATTTATTAATTTTTATTTTCTGATTTCCATTTCTTGATTGAACAAGTATTTATATACAAAAATATATTCATAGAAAGATAAAAATAAAATTGAAAAATGCAAAAATAAAAAGAAAATTAAAATAAAAAAATGAATTTTTACATACCCAGTTCGGAAATGAGAAGAGGAGATGGAAATGGAGAGATTCAGAATTAACTCAAGAAATCCGGCCTAACCGTGGCCGGAAGTGACAACCGGAGTCTCGCCGGGGAGCTGGCCGGAAATTGCAGAAAGTCGCTAGAGATGATTCGGCTTCTTCTTGGCCCAAATCGGCGGGAGAAGAGTGATGTGAGAGCTTCCGAGAGAGATTAGAGGGAGGAGATGAAGGGAAGGCTCGAGCTTTGCCGAAAGACAAAAGCTTCGTGCCGGAATCAATGGATGGCGATGACTTTGGGCTTTTTTTTGGGGCTCGCCGGAGGTTGAGAGAGGGAGGGATGGTGGAATTGATGCTTCGTCGGAAGTTGAGGGAAAGAGGAAGAGAGGGGAGGCCGAGAGTTAAGAGAAAAAGAAAAAGAAAAGAAAAATGAGAAGAGAGAGAGAGAAAAAATAATAAAAAATTAAGATTTTTGGAAGGCCAACGGCCAAAACAGTTTTCTCGCAATTTGAAAAGATGTAATCTTGATTGATAGAACACTTACAAAGGTACTTTGATCGATAGAATGGAAAATGAACAACTTGATTTTAAGAGCTTTGATTGATCCAGATGTACTTCAATCGATTGAAATGATGAGATCCTGAGAGCAATTTCCAAGGCAAAATGGGCCTCTGCAGAATTCGATCGATCGAAGAGAGGTCTTCGATCGATCGAAGATGATACTGAAAGTGCAGGAAATGCATGAAACTGCCCAAATACTTAAATGATCAACTCGAAACATATCTAGACGACGCAGAAAAGAACAAAACAAGAAATAAGGGAGGAATAGGGTCAGAAAACCTTATGAAGTATTAGTATTTAACGTCTCTAGCAAGATGTTGGGTTCTTTTAGCCCGGTTCAAAGATGTTGTTAGACATCCCCTTCTCAACGGGGTGAATTGAACTTCGAATCCCTCCTAACAAATCATTCCCTAAGGAAATTGTTGGGTTTGATTCAAGTACACTTGATGACTTTTGATCAAAGAAACTTTTGGGCTTTCATCCCCTTTCAACATTGGAATTCAAGACAACATCTTTTGAAAATTCATTCAAAGGCAAAGCATTTGATTTTTCAACACAAGGAGCTAACTCATTTTTGTCAATTTTGCTTTCAAAACTTTTTTCCACAACAAAAATCTCTTCAGGTTTGTCCATTGCATTAGGGGTTGGATTAAAAATATTCAACTTCACCTTCATGTGGCTAAAAGAAATCTTCATTATCCCCATCCTAGTATTGATGTTGGTATTAGCGGTAGCCAAGAAAGGACGGCCAAGGATAACGGGTATTTGGCTCTTTGGATTGGGAAGCGGTTTCGTATCAATGACTACGAAATTGACTGTGAAGAAGAATTTGTCAATCTTAATAAAAACATCTTCAATTATACCCTAAGGCTTTTTGATAGATCTGTTGGCTAGTTGCAAAACTACTAACGTTGGCTTTAGATCGCCCAAGCCCAATTGGATATATACCGAGTAGGGAAGAAGATTTACACTTGTCCCTAAATCCAAAAGAGCCCGATTAATGACATGGTCACCTATAGTGCAAGATGTAATGGGTGAACCGGGGTTTTTGAATTTGGGAAGTGACGAGCCCCTTCCTATGTGTTTAGAAAATGGACTTTTTAATGCGAGAGGTCGCTTCGCAAGGTCAAAATATAAATGTGGTTTTGGAAACCTTTCTAGTCAAATTTACATTTATAAAAACCACTACTACAACTAATGAAGTATAGTGAGTAGGGATCGTCCATAGAGATTATACGTGTTGGAATTTAACTTCGACTCTAGCGTATCACAAGATTGCAAAGAGTGGTTGGTTGGTTGATTACTCTAGAAAATAATTAAATTAAAATGCAATTAAAGTAAACTAGTGAGAGATAAAGATTTAAGAGATGTGAAGAGAGGATTTAGGGTGTTGGAATCACCACTAAGCTCATGTAATTAACCACTTGCTTTCCATTAATGGGGAATACATTGTTGTGAATAAAATGTGACTACCAATTGTAATATTAAGCATGTACCATCAAACCAATTGTCTACCTAACCAACAAATAAACTAAGTGTAGAACAACCCATCAACTCTAAGTATGACCCATCAAACTAGTCACAATTGTAGCACACATCATCTAGAGAATCATGGAATTTGCAATAATAAGCTATGGAATATCAAATCAAGTATAGATTGTCTACCTACCTACAATCATGAATTAAATTGTAGAACAACCCATCAAGCATAAGAATAATCCATCAAATTAATTGACAAACCCATATAATGAAAACCCATGTCTAGCCATCACTAGATTCTCAATTAACCACACATAGACATGCAATTAATATAGAAAAACTAGTGTAGAGATCAATTCTCAAATAATCACACATAAGACAACATGTAATCACAAAGAGAATCAATATGAAGAATTAAACCATATGAATCATGTGAGACATAATTCCCAATTTAATCACAGATAGACATGTAAATAAACTAGAGAATTAATAGGAAGAATTAAACCATAGAAATCATAAATATATACCAAGATTCATTAAATTCATAAGGCTAGAACACTAATCACAACAATATATATATAAATCCCCAAAAATAGAAATACAAGGGTTTAGATTACACAAGACTTAGGGCTCATCCAAGCCCTTAGTGTAGATCTAGCCAATCATGGAGGAGGTGGATGTGGTCATGAAACCCTCAAGGGCAAGCTCCAAACATGTCTCCATCTTCTTCTTCTTCTTCTTTGAAGCTCTAGAGAGAGAGTGTGTGTGAATGGATCTAGAGATGTGTTCTTGAGATGTGCCTCCACTTTCCTCTTTTTTTCTAACCCTAATCTCTTATTTTTCTAGAAAGAGAAACTAAAATTACAATGTAAAAGTAAAATGATAAAAAGCTCTCTTACAAAATGGTTCAATTCTCTTTAAATACAAGGTCCTTTTCTAAGTCACTAAGTAAAAAATATAGCCCAAAAATATCTAATCCCGCAACTATGTGGTAGGTAAAAATTGGCGCACTCGGGAATTAGACAGCTCACTGCCAGCACATTTTTGATCGATCAAACTTTTCTTCGATCGATCAGAATTTGTTCGATCGATCCAACTTTTGATCGATCTGGGTTTGATCGATCCAACTCTGATCGATCTTACTTTTCTGCGATCTATCTCACTTGGCTGTTTTCAGTATCAGCCTCCTTTTTGCTCCAATTCAACCTCATTTTGCTCCAGATTCTCTCCAAGACTTAGTTTGACTCCAAAAAGGCCTTAAGAAACCATTTTTAGCACGTTTTAACATTATTGACCTAAAAAGGGAAATAGCACGAAATTAGTCTAAAACGAAAAAATAAGATAGATAAAGGTCCTAGAATCACTACAACATATTTGGGTTTTACCAGCGCTCTTTAAAAAAACGCTGGTATAGGTGTACTATTACCAGCGTTCTTTCTAGGAGCGCTGGTATATGGTGGTATAGGTTTTTAGTACCAACGCTCTTGTTAGGAGGGCTGGTATAGGGTTTTTAGTACCAGCGCTTTTTTATGGAGCGCTGGTATAAGGTTTTTAGTACCTGCGCTCTTGTTAAGAGCGCTGGTATAGGGTTTTTAGTACCAACGCTTTTTTTGGAGTGCTGGTATAGGGTTTTTAGTACTAGCGCTCTTTGTAGGAGCGCTGGTATATGGTGGTTAGTACAGTGTCAATAGCCCTCCATCTCGCTTTTTCCCTTCCCTCATTTTTTCTTTTACCTCCCACTATTTTTTTCCCTCCGTTGATTTTGGGCCCTAAACTACGACGTTTTTGGGAGCCAATTAATTACATTGAATTCCACTTTCCCATTTCATTTTACAATAGCCCTAACACCTTCAGCCGCTCTCTCTCCTTCCATCAGAGCTCTGTTGCCCTTCTGTCACTAGTCTCGCCCTTCCATCACCGATCATCACAGCTCTCTCTCCTTCTATCACCGGTCAGTGTTCCAAAACTGGTGGCTTGGTTTAGAGGGATAAAGTCATTGCTACTACGCACACAGAGAGAGAAAGAGTCGTCCTTGGGGGTTTCCAAAACCTCGTCTACACTAACAGATCGGACGAGAATGTTTTTAGGTTAGTAACTGTTCGCCTTCTGATTTTGATTACCTGTGTATTTTTTTTTTTTTAATTTAAATTATGAATTTACCATATTTGTCAACGTGCCTTAGCTTTGTTTGTGCAGAGTCGGAAGACGACTCTCTTCGCGAAAGCCCAAGCTCCTTGCCCCCGACCACTGGACATCGTGAAAACCTTGGATAGCTCTTTACCTCCTCCTTACAGCTTTTTGAAGTCTAAATAAGGTGTGCTCCTAACTTCCTATGTTTGATTGTTTGAACTTTTTTGTTTTGGACTTTGAAATTTTTCTTTACTTTTCTTTATTTTTTTTTGTTTTTTTTTTTTGGGGAATTTGGTGATCTGAAAGTTTAATTTGACTTCTCATCGTGCCCTGATTTGGAACGCAATTCTTTGGTACTACCCACAATATCGCAATCCATGGCATGATAGACACATTAGTTGGTTAAATTGTTCTAATCTTTGACAATTATTCTAGATATATGTTGTTCAAGAAGCTTCAACATTAATGAGTATGATGATATGACTAAGCTAATAATGATTAGACTTCTTCTTTCCTTGGGCTGTTTTGCCACATTTATCTTCCAGATACTCCATTTTGACTGGAATTAGATTTCATAATTTTCTGGATGCCTGCATAAACTTGTCTAATCACTGATTTTATATTAATATTGGGAACCCAAATTTCCTTTTTCCTTTTTATTTTTTTGTCTTTTTGATTTGTTATTTGGTTCACCTCTCCTATATTCGATTGAATTTATACCTTCCCTTGTATATTTGCTAAAACTCACCTAAAGCCAGCTCAAGGAAGCTTAAACCTATCTGTACATCTTTTTTCTTACTTGCAGCTCTATTTTAGGGGCCAAATCCTCCATAAAATTATGTCATTTTGCAATTTTCAGTCCTTTTAGTTATAACTTAAGCAGTTTTTTAATTTTTTTTTTTTTTAAATACTCTTATTACTATTTTGTTCATTGGTTGTCATCCCCTTGGCCAAAACATCTTTATGACAAATTTACACATATTTCCCTAAATTGATGCCTCTTTTGCTTCTTGATTGTGCCCATTACTTATTTATGTTGTTATTGTACAATTATGTCCTAAATTAAAAAAAAAACAAAAAAAAAAAACTCCGTAATAGTAACAGTTTGAAGGTTTACGATATATGAATATTAAGGGTCATTTATGTGAATTGATTTCATATGGGTAAGAATTTCACAAAGCTTAATGCAGGAAAATTGCATCAGATAAATGGTGGTTTTGAAATTGAAACTCTCAACTAGCTTCCACAGTTCAAAGTCATTTAAATTTCTTTATAATGCCACGACAACTCATTCAGTCCAAAAAAAAGTTGGTGCCATATCAGGGTAGTATATCACTTTTATGCAGGCAAGCAATTTCATTATTCCGTGCTTTATATCTGAAAAAGAAAAGAAAAGAAGTTACATTACATTTATAATTTCTCTTTATCTTCGCCCCATTTTTATAAGTCAATGTGAACAGGTCTGTCCTTTCAAGTTGGTTAAAAACAATAAAAAATAATAATTTGGGAACACTTTCTTGGATTTTTTTCTCTTACATTTTGATATAGCAGTCGCTGATTTCAGATCAAACCCAAAAATTTCTGTTTTTGTAAACACTGAACTTGCTATGTTCTTACTATTGCTGACAGTGTGACCACTATATTTCAGCCTTTGTCCCGGTTTCCATCGCATTAGCAATCAAGAAGGGGATAACTCGTATTTGATTTGCTAATATTCTTTGAAGGTATTGATGATTGCTTTTCCTGCTTTTTAATTTTTTTTCTATGCATTTAAAATTATTCCTTATGATTTTTATTAGTTGATCAATATATTCTACTTGCTGCATGATAGGTAAATCAACTTTGGCATATCATCTTGTTGAATTGTCAGCTCTTACAAATAATCGTGTTGCAATATCTTTTTATTTTGATTAATGCAAATAATTTATTTATGTTCATGTGGAACTTTTGGAGATTGAATTATTACCTGTTACTTTCTGTGATACCCATCGATTCTAGAGCCACGGGTGATCAAGTCCGAGCACATATCCGAGGGATATCAGACAATCAATATGTAAACAAGTAAGTATAAAAACTGAATTAAGAATAAAATAATAATACGCTGGAAGAAATCTAAAATAAAAAAAACCTCAAATTTTAAATAATAAATTAATATCATTTAAATCCTCCAAATTCGTACAACTCGGGAATCCAACTAGTGGACCTCTAATAATCCCAAATGATAAAACTTTACAGAATTAAAATCCAAAACTAAAATTAGAAAGAAAATCTTATTTAGTTAGAAGAGTGAGTGACTGTATTTGCATCACCATGAACAAGCTCTAAGCCTACTACTGTCGAACACCTGAAAAATAAGGGTGGGTCAGGCCCACATTCAAGTTCCATAGTACTACAATCCATACATAAACCCGATACGCAGATACATCCTAGATAGCTCAAAAATAGCTAAAGTAGTCTATATAGATATAAGTACACACTATAGGACGTTCACCAGCCCACATAATCCGTCTCAACCTAAGTAGAACAACCAGGGTAACATCATCAGGCCTAGTTATCAATCCTAGGCGATATATGCACCCTAACCGTGATCAGGAGACTCAAGCTCGTATCACGGTACCATAAGTATATATATATCAATTCCTTCCTAGTGCAGAAAGATAAAATAAATATCCGTTATGTCGTTCAACTGTTTTAGTTGACATGACATGCATCTATGTAGGAGTTAACTGTTTTAGTTAATCCATTCTGTATGTATGAAGGGGTAGGACTTAGCTTTTTGATCTAATCCATCTCTGATATGTCACCGTCCCATACTGGTACATATAATGCAAATGATCCACAAATGATGCACATTCATTAGAATATCAAATACATCCAGAGTCCGACATAATAGCAATCAGATATAAGCAAGATTCTATTATGCATACAGTACATGATTAAAATCACGAAACATCCATTTAAATTGCTAAAATAGTGGTAAACAATTTAAACTATCCATTTCCATATAATTGACAGACACAGAAATATAACAGTTCAGCAATTATCCTCCACAACATGATATAATGATTATCAGAAATATGAGCTGAGCACATTATACTAGACATCCCTAACCATATTCTCATACTAGTCCATTTAAATTATTAAAACAAAGACTAGTAATGAAAATCCTCCTTAATCCCTGACGGTATGAAAATTATCGTTTCATTACATGACGTCCTTTTTAATCCTCCATCTTAAAACCTGTGCCTGACATAATATGTTAACTAAGAAGTCTCACTGCACAATATATAAAACCCCAATGGTATTTTATACTTACCCAAATAAACTGGTTCAAACAAACTGGCAAATAAAAGCTCATCCACTCCTGACAGCATGCAACAATGTATTTAAATTACATGACATCCACAACCACAACCCAACCAACCCTCGTGGAACTTAAATATATCATAAATATCTTTGATACAACATCCCTAAAATATCTTTCATTTCAGTCCATAAAATTGGCTAACCAAACTAGAAATTTAAGACTTCCTCCTTCCTAGACAGCATGCACATTAATCTTTAAAAATTCATGATGTCCATTAATATTAACACACGAGCATATACTAACTATTTTAAGGTTTTAATAGGTTAATTTTAAACATTTAAAACCCCACATCACTTTCTATTAATTTTATTTAAGCCCCTATAATCAGAAAAAACAACAAAACGCACTTACTGTGCATTTCCAAAAGAGGAGCCGGCTCCACAATAGTGTGGAGCTGATAAGCGCCGAATATTACATATTCAAGCACCCTTACTTGCATTAGTTAAGTCCATTAATGGAGTATAATGTATAGTTTAACTTTATTTGTGTATTTCTGCCTTGTTTCAGGTCGGTTTCCCCAAATATGATTAAAGAAGCAGTTTTGACAAATCTCTTGTTGAAATAGATGCACTGTTGCCAGGGAGCCATCTTCTGGACCGAACCTCTCGAGGCATTGTATGTGTGGAGTTCGTGGCATAATGCTCATAATGGTAATCGTGTCGACGGACCAGCTCAGAGTGGTACGAGAAGCTGCGTTGATGTGATGCAGTCACAAGGCCCCGCGGGCGCCCGCCAAATGTGTCAACCCACTGCCTTATTTCGCGGGGCCCCGCCACAGGTTCGCGGGCCCCCGCCGTTCCACCGCGGGCGCCCGCAGTTTATGCCAGTAGCCCCCTCGCGCCATGAAAGCCCGCGGGCCCCTGCCGATCTGCAGAGAGCAGCCCACCTGCTCCTATTTTTGTGCTGAACTTGTTCCCTCTGCAATTTTTGTGTGGTTCTACTTCCTTGGAGTGGTTGGAGCTCGTGATGGAGGGTGAGGAGAGGGGTTTTTGGCTAGATAAGAGCCTTGAGGCATTATTAGTGAGATATCACACATTTTAACTAAGTTTTAGAGAGAGAAAAGAGTGATCTTGAGGGTTTTGGGTACTAGCTTGCTTGAGCACAAAAATGGAGGGTGGATTTGCTTCTTCTCCTTCATTCCTTGTTCCTATAGGTAACTAAATCCTTCTCTAGGGAGGTGATGAAGCCCTCCCTTATAAGCATGTTTTAGATTAGCTTCTATTTTGGGGATAATGATGTGTAGTTTGGTCTTTTCATAATCTAGAGCATATTACTTGATGTAATGAATTTTATTGCACACAAATGATTGTTTTAAGTTATTATTTTGTCTTTGATGGTTTCTTATCTCAATCATAATGCTTGCATTTTCATGGTGACAATGGAAATAAGACTGTGAATGGTTTTCATGTCATGTTAATAGAGAAACTTGATAGTCCATTGCTTAGGTATTTCCTTTGATGGTTTATGCATGATTCCTAGTTTCATATGCTTTATAATTTGATTAAAGGCTTGATGATCTTTTGATTAAGAGAGTATGCTTGATGCTACACCCTAGTTTAGGTAGTTCAAATGTATAAACTTTTGATGGCTCATTCTTGTTTTTGATTTAATGAACTTCTTGATGATTATATGGCAATCACGTGTTGCTATATAATTCTTGACCATTATATATTGTCTATCCCCAATTTAGTCTTTATCTAGCATGTGTATAGGGTTGAAGGTGGATTCACTTCCCTAGTCCATTCTTATTTATCTTTACCTCTTTACTTTAATGTTTTATGCATTTTAATTCTTAATTTTAGTGACAAACCAATAAAACTTTATAAACCCTTTCATCATTCTAAAAGTGATTCTAGATATCTTAGTTACCATAAACTAGCAGTCCCAGTGGTTCGGCTTACCCGACCAATAGCTCTATTTTACAATGATTTGTGCTATTGTAAACGTTGATGTATAATTGTCATACCGATCAATTTTTGGCGCCGTTGCCGGGGACTGCAAAAGGTTTTGCAACCGAGGTTTTAGGATTACCTTTGGTTTGATTGTCAATATTGTGTTTTGTGAATATTTTCTTGTGTTGTTTTGATCATTGTGACATTTTAAGTGTTTGTGAGATTCTAGATTTTCAAGGCTTGCTGAGGAAAGGTAGCAAATTTGTAAGTCTAGACGACTTCAGGTAAGTTTTTGAAACTCTAGTTTCAAAGTTGTGAATATCTTGCATGTGTTTAGTTTAGGTCGAGGTTATTTTTGTTTGTCTATATTGCAAGCATCGGTCCTTGTCGTGGCCATTTAATTTCTGTATTGATAATTGAGGAGAAAGGAAACATCGTATGTGGAGTTGATGGTGATGAATTGTTGTCTTGATTATGCTATGTGTTGTTAATATTTGGCCGTAGGTCACTTTCCTTACCCACGCTTGACTCGCCAGTTGACATAAATTCACTTGAAAGAACTCTTAGAAGAAACCTTAGGGAATCTACTAGCATAAGAGAACTTGAAACACAAAGGGTGAAAATGTTAGAGATGTCAGAAATGAGGGAATCCATAATAATAGAGCTGAAATTCCAAACGTGGCTCCTATGACTCTTCGGGACCATTTCATCCCTACCACTTATGCTTCTCCCTCTTGTATAGTGATGCCAAACATCGAGGCAGCCCAATATGAGATCAAATCTAGCACCATCCAAATGCTTCCATCTTTTCATGGCTTTGAAAATGAGGACCCCTATAAGCATCTTGATGAATTCCTCGAAATATGTTCTACCATCAAGCTGAGGGGCTTTCTTAACAATGCTTTCCATTTGCATCTCTTCCCATTCTCCTTAAAAGATAGGGCAAAATATTAGTTGAACTCCCTTGCTGCAAATTCCATCACTACATGGGCTCAATCGCAACAAGAATTTTTTAAAAAATATTATCCAGTGAGTAAGACCAATCTAATGAGGCGTTCTATTCTTAGCTTTTCACAAAGCGATGGGGAACAACTCCATGAGACTTGGGAAAGATTACAAGACCTCCTTAGGAAATGTCCGCACCACCTAATTCCAAAATGGCAATTGGTGCAAGCTTTCTATACTGGTTTGACCGACACCCATAGATTCATGGTTGACTCATCATGTGGAGGGATGTTCATGTCTAAAAGTGCGGATGAGGAGTGGACCTTACTAGAGAATCTGAGTGAGAATTCATTGCAACACAATTCTCGTAGGGCTCCAGCCTCAACCAATGCCAAGAACACCAACCCTTGTCAACCGAAGACAATGAGGGAAGAATCATCTCAAGTGGATGCCATAGCTCATAAATTTTATCAATTGATGGCACCACATCTATCTCCTTTATTGTCTCAAAATTCAGCTAGTACGGTGTGTGCATCATGCACTAGTCCTTTCCATCTCTCGGAAGATTGTCCTACACGGAACAATTTCCTAATCCCAATCCAGAGCAAGTAAATGCGATGTTCTCAAGGCCCGGAAATAATCCATATTCCAATACTTACAATCCGGGATGGAGAGATCATCCGAATTTCTCGTGGAGGCAACGAGCCCCACAAAATAGGCCATTTCAGGCCTCGTCAAGCTACCGTCCTCCGTATAATCCAAATGTCTCTAATCAACCTCCTGCGTTCCCAACTGATGAAATTTTGGCTGCAAACAAGCAAATGATGGAATCTCTAAACAAGTAAATGATGGAATCCAACAAGCAACTCTTGTCATTTTTGTAGCCCACTCTCCAAATGGTTCATTCCCACACTCAGTCTATTGCTAAACTTGAGAATCAAGTGAGGCAAATAGCCACTTCAACGAACCAACTCCTTCAAAGAGATAAAGGGAAACTTCCCGCTCAACTATTTGAGAATCCTAGAGGGATTTATGTGATTGACAAAACCCCTCCTCCGAGTGGTCCTGCTCATGAACAAGTCCAAACCATCACCACCCTAAGGAGTGGTCGAGTTGTGGACAACAAGGTTGATGGAGAGAAAGATGGAACAACCCTTCCTTCCAAAAATCTAAATCTTCTTTCTAATCCAAAAGTCACTCCTGGAAATCCAAATTCTAGCACTCATGAAAATCCCAAGCTTATCAACCCAAATGTGGAGACTTCTTATGAGCCTAAGGCTCCGTTTCCTCAACGTCTCCAAGAGTCGGCACATTTTGGGAACAAGAATTACAAAATTCAAGACACGTGGGAAGTTTTCAAGCAAGTAAAGATCAACTTGCCTCTCTTAGATACTATAAAGCAAATCCCTCCCTATGCAAAATTTCTTAAGGATTTGTGCACTCAAAAGCGCACTTCCAAAAATCATTTGCCAAAGAAGGTAAGATTAACTAAAAATGTGAGTGCAATCATTCAACACAGTGCTCCTCCAAAGTATAAGGATCCGGGCGCCCTAATTATCTCGTGTGTCATTGGCGACAAGAAGATAGAAAGGGCTCTCCTTGACTTAGGAGCTAACATAAATTTGATTCCATATTCAGTTTACTTACAGCTTGGGTTGGGAGATCTAAAGCCAACCTCTGTGGTCTTGCAGCTTGCCTATAGATCGGTCAAGCACCCACGAGGCATTCTTGAGAATGTCATTATCAAAGTGGACAAATTCTACTTCTCGGTAGACTTTGTGGTTCTTGACACGGAACCGGTCCATGACCCAAAGAAGCATATTCCCGTGATCCTCGGTAGGCCATTTTTAGCTACGGCTAACGCTCCAATTAATTGCCAAACTGGGGTGATAGATATCGCCTTTGGAAATATGCAAGTCAAACTCCACATTTTCCATGCCACTCAACATCCTTCCGAAGAGGATGATTGTTTCCTTATTGATGTGGTTGATGAGGTGGTTGAAGAATCTCTCCCATTCATTCTAAGCAAAGACCCTTTGGAAACTTGCGTGTCTCATTTTGACCTTTCGAACTTTGATATTGATTAAGCCATCCAAGAAGTAAATTTGTTGCTTGACATAGGTGCTATCATGGATTTTCCTCCTTGAAAGATGCCAAAAGAACCATTTCCTCAACTCTCTACTACTCCTCCGGTCTCTTCCTTGAAATCTCCACCACAACTTGAGTTAAATCCGTTCCGGCCCACCTCAAGTATGTGTTTCTTGGTGCGAGTAAAACTCTTCCAGCCATCATTGCTTTTGACCTTTTACAAGACCAAGAAAATAGCCTTTTAGCGGTGCTTCAAGAGCACAAAGAAGCTATTGGCTGGGCGGTGGCTGATTTAAAAGGAATTGACCCTTATTTGTATGCATCGCATCCATATGGGGGAGGACGCTAAACCTTCTAGAGAGGTGCAGCGCCAGTTGAATCCCAACATGAAGGAAGTGGTCATGAAAGAAGTGATCAAGCTACTAGATGCGAGAATCATCTACCCCATCTCTGATAGCAAGTGGGTGAGTCCCACTCAAGTTGTCCCCAAGAAATCCGGCCTCATCGTCATTGAAAATTCCGCTGGAGAGCTCGTGCCATAACGCACCCCCATCGGGTGGCGTGTGTGCATTGACTACCGAAAACTTAACTCTACCACTAGGAAAGATCATTTTCCACTCCCATTCATTGATCAAATCCTAAAGAGGTTAGCCGGCCAAAGCTTCTATTATTTCCTTGATGGTTATTCTGGCTATAACCAAGTGGCAATTGATCCGTAAGATCAAGAGAAGACCATATTCACATGCCCCTTCAGAACCTTTGCATATAGACACATGCCTTTTGGGCTATGCAATGCTCCGGCCACGTTCTAACGATGCATGATGTCCATATTTTTGGATATGGTTGAAAAATTCTTAGAGGTGTTCATGGACGATTTTTCAGTCTTTGGATCCTCATTTGACTAGTGTCTCCATAATCTATCTCTTGTACTTCAAAGGTGCAAGGAAACTAATCTCATTCTAAGTTGGGAGAAAAGTCACTTTATGGTCCAAGAAGGCATTGTTTTAGGACATGTCATTTCAAAAAGGGGGATTGAGGTTGACAAAGCCAAAGTTGAGTTAATCTCCAACCTCCCTCCTCCAAACTCGGTTCTTCAAATCTGTTCCTTCCTTGGACATACCGGTTTCTATCGTCGCTTCATCAAAGATTTTAGCAAAATCTCTCGGCCCTTGTGTAATCTTCTTGCCAAGGATGTTTTGTTCAATTTTGATGAAGCTTGTATGGAAGCTTTTGTGAAACTTCGCACTTTTCTCTCATCCGCCCCAATCATGAAACCGCCTAATTGGTCTTTTCATTTGAGATCATGTGTGATGCATCCGATTGTGCATTAGGTGCGGTTTTGGGCCATCGTGTGGACAAGCT